GAGGTCGCCAGCTGCCCCCCACGAGCGGCTCTCCGGCACGGCCACGACTCCAGGGCACAGAAATCAATCTCTTAACTAGCTAACATTTAATAGAAATTCTTCCAGGGTCAATAAGTAAAATAGCAGAAATTCAAAACCGCGCGGCCGCTATTGCGGCCGCGCGACATCATTTTATTCTTAAACCAACTTGTAGAAAGCAAATCATTTCACAACGCTGTTTCAGCATGTCTGATTGGGGGGGGGGGGGGGTGGGTCGTAAACTCTAAACAATAATTGTGCATCTTCTATCGAAATAATCTATCTAGTCAAAGTAGATAGAGTATTAACTAGAACTCATCTGCCTCATAAGAATTGGGAGGGGTGGGAGGTGGGGGTCTATTGGGGTTCGGGGTTAAAAATGAGTATTGGTAAAGGGAAATGTGTTCGGTATCTACATGACTGAGACCTAAACCCGAAAGCTCTGTAACTTTTCCCACAGTGATTCAATAAATAAATAAATTATAAAAAAAAAAAAAAAAGACACATGAGAAAATGCTCTACATCATTAATCATCAGGGAGATGCAGATCAAAACAACAATGAGATATCGTTTCACACCACAGAGACTGGCCCACATCCAAAAGAACAAAAGCAACCGATGCTGGCGTGGATGTGGCGAGAAAGGGACCCTCCTTCACTGCTGGTGGGAATGCCGACTGGTTCAGCCCTTTAGGAAAACAGTATGGACGATTCTCAAAAAAATTAGAAACTGAGCTTCCATTTGACCCAGCAATACCACTCCCAGGAATATATCCCAGAGAGGCAAAAAAGTATAGTTGAAGTGACATCTGCACTTATATGTTCATTGCTGCACTGTTCACAATAGTCAGAATATGGAAAAAACCCGAGTGCCAGAGAACAGATGACTGGTTAAAGAAACGTTGGTACATCTACACAATGAAGTACTACGTAGCTGTTAGAAAAGATGAAGTCATGAAATTTACATACAAGTGGTACTACATGGAAAGTATCATGCTAAGAGAAATGAGTCAGAAAGAGAGGGACAGACATAAAAAGATTGCATTTATCTGGGGAACATAAAGTAACAAAATAGGAGACTAACACCCAAGAAGAGCCGCGATAAGTACCAGGAGGATTACTCCATAGCTTAGAGGCCAGCCACACATGCCAGGGGGAAAGGGAGCTCAGATAGAGAAGGGAGCACCAAGTAAAGGGTGTTTGGAGGATCCTCCCAGGAGGGGAGATGCAGGTTGAAAGTAGACTATGAACTGAACATGTTTGCCACTCAATGCCTCTTTTGCAGACCACAACACCCAAAAGGAGAGAGAGCAAAAGGGAATGCCCTGCCACAGAGGCGGGGTGGAATGAAGGAGCGAGGGAGTGAGAGGGATACAGGGATTAGCGGTGGTGGAGAATGGGCACTGGTGGAGGGATGGGTACTGAATGTAACCTGCCCACACGGCAGAGTCTGGCAAACTCCCTGTGGCGTACCCAATATGCCAAACACCCGTAACCATGATGGGTCTCATTCTCCTAACTCTGAAAGAGCCTTGAATGTGGCACTTTTTAAAAAAATCTCAGGGCTGAACAGATGACTGGTTAAAGAAGCTTTGGTACATTTACACAATGGAGTACTATGTAGCTGTTAGAAAAGATGAAGTTATGAAATTTACATACAAGTGGTACTACATGGAAAGTATCATGTTAAGCGAAATGAGTCAGAAAGAGCGGGATAGACACAGAAAGATTGCATTCATCTGGGGAACATAAAGCAACAAAAAGGGAGAGTAACACCCAGGAATGGCTGAGATTAGTACCAGGAATTTTGCTCCATGAATGGAAGGCCAGCCACAGGCTCTAGGTGAAAAGGAAGCTCAGATAGAGAAGAGAGCACCAAATAAAGGGTGTTGTGAAGACCCTCCCAGGGTGGGAGAGACATGCTAAAAGTGGTCTATAGACCAAACATGACTGCCACTCAATGCCTCTCTGGCAAAACACAGTACCCAAAAGAAGAGAGAGAGAACAGGGAGGAATGCCCTGCCACAGCGGCAGGGTGGGACGGGGGGGGGGGGCGGGGGGGGGGATGGGGGGGAGGGATGCTAGGACCCGGGGTGGGGGAGGATGGACACTGGTGGAGGGATGGGTACTCGATCATTGTATAACTGAAACCCAAGCACAAAAATTTATAAGTCTATAAGTGTACTTCATGGTGTTTCACTAATAAAAAAAAATGATAAAAAAAAATAAATAAAAAAAAAAAAGAAAATGGAAAAAAAAAAAATCTCAGGGCTAGGATGAAGGAGACGTTACTGGGGCCTGCTCGAGGCAATCGACGAACAACAGAATGGTCGTGATCGTGATATATATATGGAGCTGGAGAGACAGCACAGCAGGTAGTGCATTTGCCTTGCACACGGCCGACCCGGGTTCGATTCCCAGCATCCCATATGGTCCCCTGACCACCACCAGGAGTAACTCCTGAGTGCAGAGCAAGGAGTAACACCAGTGCATCGCCAGGTGTGACCCAAAAAAAATAAATAAATAAAAATAATAATAATAATAATACAAAAGATACCACCTAAAACCTCTAAAAAGAATTTATTTTTTAAAGAAAATGCCATTTTGGAGCCCGAGGGCTCAGGGCTGCACACAGGTGCTGCACGCTGTAGGCCCAGGCCCCGCCCTGGCACCGTATCATCCTTGAGCTCTGCTGGGAACAAACCCCAAGCACCAAGCCACGATTAACCCCTGTGAGCACCGCTGGTGGAGTCCCTCCAAAAAGTTCTTTTTGCCCCAGGTTTTCTACATTGTATCACTATACACCTATACACTTCCTAACTCCTATGGTGAATGTGTTAGATAGCCAAAAACTCAGCATCATCAGCTACATCACCATCATCACCATCTCTACACGGTTAAATAAAGAACTTTGCTTAAGCAAGAACATTCCAGGCAGCAAGCAAGCGACCACAGGGCGCAGAGTGCCAGAGGCCGCAGGTGAGTGAGTCCACCTGAAAAACCATGACGGAGTATCCTGATGGCATGAAACACCATCCCCGGCGGAGAAAAGGTCCAGTCCTACCAATTCATTCTCCAAATGCCTCAGTTTCCCCTCAAGGCCTGTCACTGCCCAGAGTCAAACAGGTTTGGTGCTTGACACAGGCAGGCGGCGGCGTTCACCCATCAGTCTAAATTCAGAGCTGGCCGTCTCCAACTCAACACCGCCTTAAAGGCTCACGGTTGACAGTGACGTGCCTCAGATCTGCAGGTGACCACTTCACTTCACTTTCATCAAACTTCATTTTGGAAGGAAAACGAGTTTTCATTTTAGATGGCAGGACGTGGCTTGGTGGGACAGCGTAGAGGGTCTTTTGGGCATGTAAAGACCTGGGTCCAGTTCCCGCGCCTCCAAACAAATGCTTAATTTCAACTATAAGATTAAAGGGCTTTTAGTTTTATTTTTCAAATCAAAATCCTGTTCCGAAGCCTATCAGAGATGGTTTGAGGTAAAGAAACAGTCACTATAAAATCTTTTTCTTTTCGAGGCATCAGGAGAGTTGTGTTCTCAAATACAGAATTACCAAAAAAAAAAAAAAAAGTGGAGCTTTCTCTTTAAAAAAAAAAATAATAATAAGAGTATGTTCGTGGGGCTGGAAAGATAATATAAAGGGTAGGCTCCCTGCCAGGCACTCAGCTGACCTGTTTGATCCTGTCACCCCAAATGACACCCCAAGGACAAGCCAGGCATGATCCCCAAGCAAAGCCAGGAGGAAGCCCTGGGCACAACCAAATGTGGCCCAAAGTAGGGTGGGGAGACTTTTTTTGTTGTTATTAGGCTCTGTTGATATTTGTAAAGCTTTAAACACAGACACACACACACACACACACACACACACACACACACACAAAGGATCACAGATCATAGCTTGTTTTCCCACACACTAATAGCCACAATTTAGGCCACGTAACCAGGGCCCCTGGCCATTCAGCTTGCAGGACCACCATGACCCTCAGCACCCCCCAAACTTAAAATCCCAACTGCCCCGGGCCCTCCTGGACTTAAGAATAACCCTAATCCGAACGGAAGGATTCCCAACGCAAGGGACCCTCAGCTTCCCCCTGGCAAACCTGAATGTCCCCATGCCCAGATGAAATACAGGCTCAGCCAAGTCAGGACAAATCTTCCTGAAATCTTCCTAAAAATCTTCGAAACCTCCCAAAACAAACAAGGAAGACCGACTTCCCCCCCCCCACTCTCCTAATTTCAATTTTTCCCCCCCATCCTTTTGGACCACACCCGGGGATGCTGCGGGTTCCTGGGGGGTGGGGGTGGGGGTGGGGGTTGGGGGGTGCTTTGCACTGGGGCATCACTCCCGGGGCTGCTCGGGGGAGTCGGAGCCCGGGCGGGGGCCGCGTGCAGGGCAGACCCCCTCTTGCACACCCGCTCCCCGTCACCTGTCAATCTCGGACCGGGCGGCGGGGGCGGGGCGGGACGGCGGGGTGGCGGGTTCGAGCCCCGGCGTCGCACGGGGACACCCACCCACCCACCCAGAGCCCCGCCAGGAGTGGAGCATTTCCTGCGTGCAGAGCCAGGAGCAACAACCCCTGAGCATCGCCGAGGGGGGGAACCCAAACGGGAAATATAAAATCAAATTAAATGTAAAGAAAATAAAAGGTGTCCAGACCGAGCCCCAAACAGACGTGATAGGATCATCAGCATCATAAAGAAGAAGAACTAGAAGGTGTCCCGGGCGCTGCAGCAATCCCCCGAAGCCACCCAGCTGCCAGCAGCAAGGCTGGAACTTGCAAGCGCAGGGGTGCGGGGGTGCGGGGTGCGGGAGAGGGAGGCGCGACCCCCGGAGACCGCGCGGGCGCTGCCCCCTCCGAGCTCAGCCCGGGGCGCCCGGGACCCCCGGCTTGGCGCTGCCGCGGCCGCCCCCCCGGCCTCCCCCGCCGCCCGCGGCCCGGCCCGGACCCCGCGCGGACCCCGCCGTCGCCTACCCCGAGCAGCGCGGCCGCCGCTTCCCGCCCAGTACGAACTTCCCGCCGCTGTCGCCGACTCGCAACTCGGCGGCGGCGCCGGCCCCGTGACACCCCGCAGCACGGAGCCCTCTGGTTGGCTCGTGGCGCCGGCGCACCCCGCAGTACGGAGCTTTACTATTGGCTCTTGCGGAGAGGGCGGGGCCGGGGAGTGGGCGGGGCCGGGCTCGGGTGGGAAGGGCGGGGAAAGGGGCGGGGCCTGCGCGCCGGCTTCCTGGGCAGGCCGGGAGCTGCGCGCGCCGGCGCGTCCCGTGCATGCTGGGAAATGGAGTCCTTTGGGAGGCCCAAGGGAGTGCCCGCACCCTTTCCTTGCCCAAGTAGCCCAAGTAGGCGCTGGGGAAATGTGGTTCGCAAGCGCTGGAATCCAGATGTGGTTTGCCTTCTTCATCGGAAACCGAGATGAACCTTGCCAGAGTTTGCAGTAGCTTGATACGGTAAACATTCGGCTTATTCAGAAACTGGAAGAAACCCGAGTGCCCAAGAACAGATGACTGGTTAAAGATGTACTTTGGTACATCTACACAATGGAGTACTATGTAACTGTTAGAAAAGGTGAAGTCGTGAAATTTACATACAAGTGGTACAACATGGAAAGTATCATGCTAAGCGAAATGAGTCAGAAAGAGAGGGATAGACATAGAAAGATTGCATTCATCTGGGGGATATAAAGTAACAAAGTATGAGATTAATACCCAAGAATAGCTGAGATCAGCACCAGGAGGATTACTCCATAGCTTAGTGGACAGCCGGGCATTCTAGAGGAAAGGGCAGCTCAGATAGAGAAGGGAGCACCAAATAAAGGGTTTTTGGAGGATCCTCCCAGGAGGGGAGATGCATGTCGAAAGTAGACTATGGACTGAACATGTTTGCCACTCAATGCCTCTTTTGCAGACCACAACACCCAAAAGGAGAGAGAGAACACAGGGGATTGCCCTGCCACAGAGGCAGGGGGGATGGGGGATGCGGATGGGGGGGATATTATCCATGGTGGTGGAAAATGGGCACTGGTGGAGGGATGGGTATTTGATCATTGTATAATCAAAACACAAACACAAAAATTTGTAAATCTACAACTGTACCTCATGGTGTTTCACTAATAAAAAAATTTGGCTTATTATTATTGTGCTAGATGCAACCTAGGAAAGAATACCTAATGCACCCATTGGTTGGGGGTCTCTTCATTCCCTTTGAACTCGCACATCTCTCTCTGTTTGGGCTCCACTAGCAGAAATGTTGTGTGTCAAAGCAACTTGGTTCCATGCAGTGCCTGGTCCCATGCACAACTACTACTTCTTGACCTCGAAATCTTCCAAAACAAACAAGGAAGACCGACTTTTTCCCCTCTCCTAACTTCATTTTTCCCCCTCCAGAAGCAAACAGCATGTATTACCAGCTAAGTTGCTTCACTCTGAGTCTCTGTCCAGAGTCATGAGTCTGCGGGATAAGTGAAATCCTCTCCAGACAGCATGTAGCAGGTGCTCAGTAAATGCAGAAGTAGAAACATTCCTCTGCCCGCCTGTGTCTAAATCCTACTTGTCTTTCCAGGGTTCTCCCCGTGTCTGTCTCCCCAGTATCTTATCCTGGCCACAGTTGACATTTCATAATCAGTTGAAATTTCTGAGAATGTTTGAATTTCTTGTGGACTGGGACGCTGGTTAGTGTCAAATCACCCAGAGAGATTCCCAACAAAACCAATGAAGCGGTAAACTCGGGTCCCCCCTGGGGCCTTTTCAGAGCCCTGAGAAGGACTTTGACAAAGTGTGTGCATAGTGTTGAGGGGGGATTGTTTGCCCAAGTATGATATTTTTATTATGATTGTCTTAAAATCGACCCCTAAGTTGGGAGCTTCCGTTCCCACAAATCCTGAGACTGCTCATACATGAGACAGGGTGGATTTGTGGCTGGTTAGTAACCTTCACCCATCCAGATACCCTTGCCAGCTCAGGGACGTTCCAGCTGAACCTCTTGAAGTTTCCCCAGGGGCCCCTGGCTTCTGTTGATCTGGGCAAATGGGAAGACTCTCAGAGGACCAGAAGGAAAGAGAGGAGTTGGTCAGGATGAGTGTTTCTGTAGCCCCTGCACCTCTCTGGCTCACGGTGACAGTGACATGCCTCAGATCTGCAAGTGACCAGGGGGCAGGGCAGCTGTGCCCTGAGTTAGTGCTCCATCCCCAGGATCCACAACTCTCACCTTCATTAATTGTCTCGTGGCAAATAAACCTCCAAGCCCTCCTCCGAGCTCCAATGTGTCACTGGTTTCCCATTGAGCTCCTGACAGAAACACCTTGCAAGGTGAGCCCTCGATGAATATTTGTCTGTGAAGACGGCTCCAGATTCACACATCTTCAGGGTGTGGATTCCCCCCCAGCAGGGCTCTATGGCCAGAATCCATGGAGAGAATGGCATCACACACACACACACACACACACACACACGCACACGCACACGCACACACACACGCACACGCACACGCACATGCACACACAGATACGACTTGGAAGGGGACTTATCTGTCACCCTGGGACCACATTCCCCCTAACCTCCCTACACACACACAGATGAAATGTCCCTGCCTCCACGCTGGGCTGACAATTGGCTGGCCTTAAAGCACAATGAAACCAGCCAGAGCGCTTGGAGGATTCCAAGGTGAGAATGGAACGTATTTCCGCTGGAGCTCCTCACTCTCGCACCCTCCGCCGGATGGCTGGCTGTTAGAACGCGCCTTAAACGCAGCGCTGTTCCCAGGCCGTTGCCAACACCTCCAACACCACCCACCCGTGCTGAGATGTCCCAGCACTGCAGAGCATGGCAGGACAGCAGTCCAAGCTGCCATCAGTGACAGCATGTCTGTAACGCTGGAGGTGGGGAGACCACTCGGGGACATCAGAGACCATTGGGGGAATCTTGATGAGCTGGTAGGTCGGGGTGAAGCTCGGGGCTGTGCAGATTGGTCGGGGGGAGGACTTGCTGTAGCTGGAATGAAAGAATTGAACTCAGGAGCTCGAGTACAGTCCTGCCATATAGTTCAAGATATTCTTCCTGGGGCTGTGGAGCGATAGCACAGCAGGGAGGGCGTTTGCCTTGCACGTGGCTGACCAGGGTTCGGTTCCTAGCATCCCATATGGTCCCCCGAGCACCGCCAGGAGTAATTCCTGAGTGCATGAGCTAGGAGTAATCCCTGTGCATTGCTAGGTGTGACCCGATAAGCAATATATATATTCCTCCAATACGAGCTGATGTTCTCTCAGCACTTTCGGGAGCCATGGTTTGCCCCACCCCCACCCCGCTCCATGCACCCCAGGTAGACAGGTTTCACCGATGCTTTAGGAAGCCACATGTGGGCTGGAGCGAGAGCACAGTGGGTAGAGCCTTGCAAGCGGTCAACCCGGGTTCGATTCCCAGCATCCCATATGGTCCCCCGAGCACCACCAGGAGTGATTACTGAGTGCAGAACCAGGAGGAACCCCTGAGCATCGCCGGGTGTGACCCCAAAAAGAAAAAAAAAAGGAAGCCACACGTGTGGCAGACCCGGTGCTTTTTCTCAGTCCTTCAAGGGCAAAAATACAATCTCAGAGTTAAATGAGTCCAGGTCCCCTGATTCTACCCCTAAAGGTTCTACTGTTTGTCTGCCTCCGGACACAGCCTTCGGATTTTTGCAAACTGCTCCTGAGGAAATTGTTTCGGTGCAAGGATAGAGATTTGTCTATGATGCTGGTCTCATCAGGTGGTGGAATTCTTGACCGACAGGTTACCATGGGTCAAGTAGGGTCACCCAAAAATAGGTTCCGTTCAGTAAAGAAAAGTCTTCCAGTCACCTGGCAAGGGCAGAGCTGAAAACAGCGTCAACGTGGCTGGCTCTGTATTAATTTGCTCAAGAGTTGATTCATGAACATCCTTCTCTATTTCCAGGAAACTCTCCAACCTGGCAAGCTGGGGACCAAATCACAAAAATAAAAATAATAATAATAATAATAAAAAGGTTTCAATAAGTTCATATTGTGAAGTTCTGGCAGAGAGCTGGTCTGAGAAGATCAAATATGGTCAGTAGGACACTACACTGCCCTGGCAAGCTGCCCAGCAGTTACTGCCTTGACCCCTGAGTCAGTTCACCAACACTGTGTTTCCACCTGTAGTCTGGGAACAAGCTACTCTGGGTCAACCAGTTCTCCATGGCCCCCAGGCTGCTGGCGAGGGAATGAGATCACGTCTGAAAAGGGCTTTGATCCACCTGGAACAAAGCTACTCCAGTGGCATTTCCCAGTGTCTGAAACCTCCCAGCAGCACCAGGAAATATCATCTCCTGCGAACAAAGAAGAGTGGGGAACAGAGTGCTTTGGGGTCTTCCCATGGCTTTCTGCTCCCTGACACACATTTGCTATTTCATCTCATCCCCAGAGCCCAGAGTTCTTGTTTCCATTTAGCAAGAACCTTGGAACATCTACTATGTGGCAGGCATAGTGTCCTTAATAGATTTATAATCCAGTAGGAGAGCCAGCTGTATTCACAAATTCTGCCTTGATGAGCTTTTATCATATGCTGGAAAATCGACTTATGCTACCCTACAATGTGATGTGTATTCGGGGTCCCACGTCCCAGAGACAGGAAATTATTGTTCAAGATCTCAATGCTGGTGACTGACAGCGTATCCTGATTCCAGTCACAGCTGCTGGAAAGTGGAATGAGACAAGAGGCAACTGGAGGCTGCTAGATTCTGTGCTCTGAGAAGGCAGGAGGAAGACCATACCGTCCTGCTTCAATGGCAAGATGTCACAGATCTGGCTGGAATGAATCTAGTGACTCTCACTGTAGTCGAGATCAAATGTGACCATTGTTGAGGATTATTGATTGTTCTGAGGCCCAGTGTAAAGAGATAAATGTTCCCTCTGCCTCCCTTCTTCATCCTGACAAAGATGATATAGTGATGATGGTAATGGTGACAGTGATGGTGGTGATGGTGATTGTGGTGGTGATAGTAGAGGTGATGGTGGTGTGATGGTCGAGGTGATGGTGGTGGTGGTGGTGATGGTAGAGGTGATGGTGATGGTGGT